TGAACGCTGGCTCGAGAGCAAGCGTCGCGCGCAGGCGCGCTACGTCTGCGGGGACTGCGCCGCGATCGTTTCCGACTTGGTGCAGCCGTTCCTCGCGTTCGTAGCCTGTCTTTGTGAGGCTGCGCGCGGCGTCTGCCGAGTAGCTAATCTGACCTTCTTCTGCGTCATCTACCGCGAATTTTGCGAACGTCTCGGACTCGGTGCGCACTTGCTCTTCGTTCGTGCGACGGGGCTGGGGCTGCATCGCTTGCTGCTGCACTTGTGCGAGTGCTACTGGCAGTGCGTGCGCAGCACGGCCACTGCCTTCTGTCTCGCGCGCGACTTCCCGGTGTCCGTGCTGGCCCTCTGCCAGTTTAGCGACGACCGCTGGGACTTTTTGCCCAACGCCGCGGAGCTGCGCGCGGCGCCGCAACGCGCGCTGAACCCGCAAAGCTTGTGGGACGGTGCGCTGGCGAAGCTGGAGAGCAACGCAGAAGTGGAGTACAACTTTGCGGCCGTGCTGCTGCTGATGCTCGCGCGCGAGTTTGAGTTGAAGCGCGAAGGGACGCGAGTGATTTGCGGGGTGCCTCGTGAGGCGCCGCAGCCGCCGGAGGTTGGCAGTGTGCTAGGCTTCCTGCTGGAGGCGCAGCCCAGCGTTGGGCGGCTGCAGTGCTTCGCACTGTCTCTTTCGCACTTTCCGAAAGCGCGAAGCGATCTGTACGCAGAGCTCTGGCGCCTGCACAACGCAGTGCTGCTACCGTTTTTGAAGTTACTGGCGCAGGACTCGCTCGCGTTCGAACTGCAGCATTTAGACGCCGCCGAAATGACCGCCGAGGACGGCGCGTTCTGCGTAGACTGCCGTGGCGTACCGCTGCCCGTGCACGGATCCGACAGCGCCTCTGGCGCACGCGGCTTCGAAGCGGAGTGCGTGCAGACTTCACTGCTCAACTGGCTGCTTCGCATTAAGAAGCTCGGAGAAATCGGGGTGCTCGCCTTCGAAAAGCGCGTGATCTCTGACGCACGGTTGGGTGCCGCCGCGAGATTCATGCGGCTTGCGGCGCAGCGATTGTCGTCGGTTGACCCGCTGCGCGCAGCGCTCTGCGCGCCCGCGTTTGCTACCGTCGAGGAACTCTGCGCCGCCGACAACTGGACTCCGGAAACCATTGCTCTCGCTGTTGAAAGTTTGGCGACCGACCGCTCAGTCGACGGACTTGATGGCGGCAAAGCGTCGACGCCGCGCGTCGTAGCGCAACGCGCATTTGAGCACGACAGCTGCAAATCGCTTGGCGCGGCAAAGCGCAGAACCTCCACTGGCGCACCGCTCGCAGCTAGAGCAGACGTTGCAAGACGCAACGCTGCAATGCGGCCGCTGCCCGCGACGGAGAGCTGCTCTGAGTCTTACGCAAGTCTGGCGAGTCCTGTGAATTGCTTCATGTCCGCACGAGTGTCAGAAGCGTCGATGCACGTGGTTCCTCGCAACGCCGCGAGTGAGGCCGACGTTGCGCGGCATAGAACGCTCAATGGAACGCTCAGCGGGACGCTCAATGGAGCGCTCAATGGAGCGCTCAATGGAGCGCGATTCGCAAGCGTGCAGGCCACCCCACCGCGCAGCGCGAAGAGCGTCGATGGCGTCGCCCATGCGCTCGCTGCTGCGCATCGCGGCAGCAACTACTTCGCTGACGCCGCTGAAGCAGCGACGGAATTTAAACTATCGCAACAGTTTGGGCTTTCGCCGCAGTTTGGGCGCAGTGATTCGCCTGGCGTTCTGCGCGTTCCTACCGCGGACACGCCAATAGCGGACACGCCAATAGCGGACACGCCAATAGCGAACACGCCAATAGCGGACACGCCAATAGCGAACACGCCAATAGCGACGCCGCCTGAAGCGTTCGCTAACACCCTCTCTCCGGTTTCGCGGTCGCGAGCGGCAGCAGATGCGCTTTCCGATTTCTCCGCAGCGAGCTGCGCGGAAGAGTGCGCGGCGCAGGGCCGGAACTCAATCGAGCTCCTCACACCGCGAGCAGTTCCGTTCGGCTTTTCGCGCACCGTAACGCAACAATCCTGGCCCTCACCGCCGTGCGTCGACGCGCGCGCGAGCGGCCGCGAGTCGTGCACATGCGAGCGGCGCGCGGGCGGCGCGCAGGCGAACTGGGATGGCACAGCGACGCCGGGGTGCGCTGCGTGCGCGACCCCGATGCTACAACTGCTGCTAACGCTGCGGCACAGCGCATCACTGTACTACCAATTACTGTGCTACTCGTGCCACTCGACGCTGCTCAGCAGCTTCCCGAGTGCTCTGAAGAACTGCTTGCTTTGCTGCGACGCGATTTGGCCGGGCTTTTCGCAAGCAGCGCTGCTCGATTTGCTGCAGGCTACCGTGCGCAACATTTGGGCCGGACTACGCGACGAGGATGTCGCGCGCGCTCGCCGCGACGCGCCGCTGCTGGACGCGTTGTATGCCGCGCGCGAAAGCGCCGAGCGCTTGACGAAGCCGATCCGCAACCGCAAGGCGGTGAGCTTGGCGACGCTCTTCGTGATGCTGCTCGACGCTTTGCCGCCGGGCGCGGAACTGCTGAGCGCGCGAGGCGCGCTGCGCGTCGACAGACACCTGTTCCCTTTTTTGACGACTGTGCTGCAGCTCGGGCTGGGCGACGCGTCTAAGAGCGAGACGCTCGTCGACACACAATACTGCTTCTTGCACCTGC